CTTAGTAGAGGCAAAAGAGGAGTCCCAAAAAGAACAGGTCTGAAAATGTTTGTCTCTATAAATAGCAGTTCCTTCTCATATGTCATATCCAAAAAACTTTGCCATTATGACTTGAGATGAAGGAGGAGGAGAAGGGAATAGTGATAGGGAGAAGAGCAACTGTAATTATTATTGCCATTACCTATTTGATTTCCTTGAGGCCCTACCAGTCTTCTTGTTCGAAAGTTAGAGTGCCTTCTTTTCAATTCTTTCCAGTGTTTTTTAGAAGAATATTGATTATTAGGACTCGAAAGGCTCAAAAGTGTTTGCTGATATTTGATTAGTTGGTTTCTTTTCTTATGAGTGTTTCTTAGTACATACACGAGCTGATATGCATCAGTCTATTGGATTTGACAACATGAAACAAAGGTAGAATCCTGACATCATAAAGGGATTTCACTATTTCCTTAGATATTAACTATTGGGTGCATTTATAGGCATGTCAATATGGATTAATATCAAACAACTTCAACATCGATTGGGCAATAGAAACCTAATCAAATCACTTTCTTTTAGTCAGTCTTTTTGTCACAATCACCTTCAAGCCTAGAAGACCATAAGACTTTTATTTTCTTAATGGGGCATTCTTTTTTTGAATTTTGAGAGGGGGAGTAATTGGTCAATGGGATTTTGATTCTTATTGCCATGTTCTTTTCAAATTTATGTGAGGATTAGAGAAAGTTTATTTTTTGAGTATCACTTACTTGTAGGTAAATAACTTTCTCACCTCTTTCTCATCTGGGAAGGAAAGTTGTCAATACTTGAATGGGACAAAAATGTTACTTTTAGGCCACGTTCGCTTTTCGGTAAGCTACTTACCCAGATAAATGCAATTACCTATGTAAATTTTTACTGGGAAACACTCACCTAGGTAAATGCGTTTATCCATGTTCTTTTATTTCTCAAGTAAATAAGGCAATGACCATTTTAGCTATAGAAATTCATTATTAAAAATGACATTTTTGTCCCATTCAAGTGTTGGCAACTTTCCCTCTATGTAGGAAAGTTATTTACCCACCTAGGAGATGGGTATCACTTTCCTGTGTAAGTGATACCTAAGAAAATAAACTTTCCCTGGTCTCCACATAAAACTGAAAAAAGAACATGGGATTCTTGGTCAATGGGAACCCATTGACCAACTTTCTCCCCTCTCTAAATCCAAAAAAAGAACACCCCCTTAATAATGGATTTTTATAGCTAAAATGGTAATCACCTTATTTACATGAGAAATAAAAGAACATGGGTAGATCCACTTGCCCGGATAATCATTTTTTTGGGAAACATTACTTAGATAAATAACTTACCGAAAAGCAAACATGGCCTAAAAGAAAAGACAGAAAAAACAGAGTATATCTTCTATGAAGGCTTATATATTTGATGTAGTAGCAAGTGAACACCATATGCAATTTCTTGTCGACGAAGCCAAATAATATATCTATATCTATATCTATCTATCTATCTATCTGTCTATCTATTTATTGTATTATGGAGAAATTTATCCTGTCTAAGTACAAAGTTGCATATATACCATCTATCAACCGAGAAAGAGAGCTCTCCCTAAGAATCGATCAAATATCTATCAACCGCTAAATCTGTCATTGTAACAACTGATCAGACAATTCCTATAGCATAAAGGTTACCTATAAATAATTCCATTATATTATACCTCAAAATGGAGGGAATCGTTTCACTCTCATTTTTACAAGTCTTTTATGGTCCACCTGTGGTCCCTCAATCAAGGAAAAAGTATGCATTCGCTAGTCAAAAATAGAAACTAGAAGAAAATAAAAAGTATGTATTCATCATGACAACCGAATATAATAGTGTAACCCGGATTATTCATTTAAGGTGATGATAACATGCAATAAGGCTGTGTTTGGTTTATGATATTAGTTTTTTATATGTTATTTGCTGAAGTAGAATGCCATGTTTTCAGTTTGTATAAGCGAGGACTAAGGAGTAATTATAGACAAGAAAAAACACTTCAAGCAAAGATATCATAGTTGAATACTTGAATCAAAACCAAAATTCTGGTAGTATATTTGAGTAGGCATGAATTTAAACCCCACAGAAGAGTAGGCTCTTTCCATTGTGAATGCTAGTGGGCGGGCCTATACCTGCATCTAGAGTTCTAGACTTGTTTACTGAACGGGCATTGGGCTCGGCCAATGAATATTTTAGACTGTTTCAGACTTGGGGTTTGGCCTGGACCCAATTCAAAATTTGGAAAAGCTTAACGTGAGACTGGCCCATGAACAGGTCTGATGGATTGCTTTTACCACTGACCCGCTAATCCTGCTATTTGGGTCTAGCGTATAACACCCTGCTCTTATGGGCACCCCACAGAGTGTGCCCCACAGTCCATTCCAACTGGGAATACCTTTCCATTATAAGTAGGGGAGATATTCTCAATGCATGGTGAGATGTGCATGTGGTGCGACAATCTGAATTCCCTCATGACTAGACTATGAGAGCCAAAGTCGCATAACATTTCATATATATATTAGCTTACCCTTTCCTCCACCTTATCATTGTGCTGAGAATGCAGTACTCCGGTTTGAAAATCAGACATGTCAGGTTGAGAAGTGGCAAGGGTAGAACCAACTATCTAAGGGAATCAGGTGATGTTATGGTTCCCATAGGTAGGATTAACCGGTTAAATGGTTCAATCCCTTTCAGAGGCCATTCTGGCATTCCAAAAATCTAGCTTTTAGACAAATTCATTAGTTTTTCCCGTTTAAGTTGTGTTTGGTATCATTGCCACTTCTACTTGCAATCTTTTCTTAGATGATCAATACAAATTTTAAGAGAATATATTTTTGTCTACTACAAATGCTTTGAGTTATCAATACAACATTTGGTACCATTGCTGTTTTGTCAAGAAACATCAAGTTTAGTGTTTCTACAATAAATGACAATATTCAATCTAATGCCTATATATATATTTTTTTGGTATAAGACCATTTCTCAAAAATTTGTATTAACCAACCTAAAAATTTGAAAGTAAAAGTTGCAATAGTATCAAACATAACCTTAGTAAGTTTCTTTGATGACCAAAGATTATATGTGGTAGCAAGGTACCAACTGGCTAGTTGGTAAAGTCTCTTGCTGGTTGTAGTAGAGACTTGGGATCGAATCCTACTTGAACCAGAGTTGGGGGATTTATGGGTTTAGAAGATGGGTTACCCTATTGTATTGATTATTGGATTTTAATCTTGATAGAGATCAAGCCCAATGGGGTTTGATTGATCAATTACATGAAAAACACACCTGCACACATATCTTGGAAAATAATTTTTTTTTTCTTATTAAAATCAGTTTTGAACTTGTCTCACATAAGAAAACTACTAAACTTGCTTTGAGTTTTTAAATAGGAGTTTATTTACACTCCTTAGCATAGGCATGTGTGCGGCGCAATGAGATGCACTTTTAGTGTGAGGCACTGTTGATGTTTTAAGGATATGAATTTGCTTACAAATAACATATTAAAGAAAATGTCTTTAAACGCACCTTATAACTTCTCCTCCAAATTCCCAACATTTATAAGCTATTTCAGTGCCTTGGCCCAGCCAGTGATTGTAAATAGAGTGTGGTGACTGGTGAGCAGCTCTGGACTCCATTGACAACATTAACCCTAAAATCATATCTGTGCCTATAAAATTGGGGCTATGTGCTTTTTTTATTTTTCCATAAATTTGTGGTTTTGGGATCTGAAGGCTGAAAACACAAATGCGATGCGATCTTTTTATTATATATCTCAGTCAATAGACCTTATATATACGTAGTTTTGTTTTTCTGTTGCTTTGACATTTGGGATGTCTTAAAAAAAAAGAAAAAGACATTTGGGATGTCTTAAGATGTATTATGTAAAATGGAAGAAACAAACAAATTCCGTAAAGAATACGATTTTTGTTGTCTGAATAGTAGTTATAGGAAAATGACGTTCCTTCTCATCTTCCCCAAGTCATTTTCTAACTAAAGAGAGAGCCAATCTACTCCATTCAAATCTCATAAAACCCATATTTATACCACGATTCGGGTTTATTTTCCATTTTAGGGAGACACCAAGCAAAATGGAAATCGTTCGTTTTCCCAATGAATAGGAAAACCATTTGTTACCCTTTCTTTTACATGCAACCAAAGTAAGGTTTTGAAGCTTTGAAATAGAATGACCAATTGACCAAACAAGAGAATCATTTCTAGATTAGAGCTGGCAATGCCAGGTCTAGACTAGAAGTAAAAAACAACGCTTCTCGTAATAAACAGAAGCACAGAAGACAGTGATAGGTTTTCTTTTTGGGCAATAGAGGAAGCTCAATGTTTGAATCTAGCTACCAACTTTTGCAGGAAATCGATGACAGGCAATGGCCACTTATTCCTCAATCTCAGATAATTCAATTTGGGCAAACAGGTATATTCTGTGGATGGTTTTTAACTTTGGACGGTGCACTAAAGACACCCATCTTCTTGCTTGAATTGGACGTTTAATTCCAGACAGGATTGAGTGATCCATTCATCCAACATCAAGATCTGGGCCACAACCTAATGTGGTCTACGACTCTACGTTGCTTGTAAGCTTTTTTTTTTTGCACATGGAATCTGAAATCTGGGGTGGCCACTGGCCAGAGCGAGACCCATTGGGAAGTTATCAAGTTAGGTCTAAAGCTTTAGCTTCACCTGCCAAATCTCTTTTCAGTTTCGGGATTCTTGTGGCTTTCTTTTCTCTTCTCCTTGGAAACCATAATTCTTTTAGATTAAAAAGAACACCTGGAGGCACCAACACGGAAAAAAAAACATCCGACTACCTGGTAAAGACCTGGGCCCGAAGTGGACCGTCGACACAGGTTCTGCTGAGTTTGGATTGGCCACGCCAACCTGCCTCCACGTGGCAAAATAAACGAAACTGTTGCCTTGATTCTCATTCCCAAGTACGTCATAAAGACAAAAATAATAATCTCCATTATATATAAATTAACCACACAACCTTCTTTCTTATCTACAGCCTCTATTGATTGTCATACATTTATCCCTTATCCCTCTACAATAAAAAAAAAAGGAAGAAAAGCAACAACACGTACGTAACATTTACTGATTTACAGAGATAAGAGGAGACGAACCTCTGTCACTCTTTCTCTCATCATTCTGATCTTCTACTGATTTGTGCAAGAAAGAAATTACAGGAGCCTTATGGCTACCTCCAGTTCTCATCAACACTGAGTAGATTCGTCATAAATGTTGTCAAGAATGGCAATGATTCCGAAGACAAAAGCTTTGTCAAATCCCGGTTGCACCACCACATGGTAGAGATCCTTGCTTACCAACAACTCCTCCACCTCCTTCTTTATTTCCACCTGCACTCACAGAATTATATATATATATATATATATAACGTATGAGTTCCCAAACCCACACGTTAAAAATTCTCTCTGGATCGATCTCTCTGCGCGGGTGTGTGTTTGTGTGGAAACTGAAAAGAAAGAATATGTTAACGCATATCTATATACCTGTGCTACAATGTTTCCCTTGGAATCAAAGATGGTGCAAGCTCTAGCGGGGAAAGAACCCTTGATCTGAAAATCCCAGTTCTTGCTGCACCTCCTGGGTTCCATGCAAACTTTGATGGAGTTGTTTTTGACAAGGAACGATTTCGGCTCCTTGAGGCAGAATATCAACTTCTCCATCCCTTCGTAGTCTAACATGTAACCTCTCCATTGCCTATGAACGCTTAGCGCCTGAACAATACCTCCCTGAAATAATGGAAGTAACATATCAAATAAGGAATTCTCTGTGATCTCACCACTGAAATGAATTTAAGTATTCAATGGTGAGATGAGATGGGTATATAACAGCTACCAGAAGCAAGCTTGAAGCATTAGAAATGCATCAATATGATGAAACTATTGAAGCCTTTAATTTTTCTGTTACCTTCCGGCGTATGAGCAGCAAAGGTTCTCCATCAGCATCCCTCAACATGAGTTCACCTCTCACACCCAAGGTTCCACAGCCATCCACCCTGAAAACCACCCTTTGGCTACAGTCTGTAACCACAAAACCTCCTCCATTTACCACATGAGGCCGCCTCCTCACTGTTAGAACTATCTGAGAAGCCGAACAAAAGATTTTGCTGACGATGGGAGTTAAGTTTCCCTTTGATGAAACCATTTTCCTTTTACCTTTGGTCGACGCACACCCCAAATCTCTCTCACACTCATCAAACTAACTGAAACCAAGGATTTTATCGAGTTTCATTTAGCCTTAGCGTTTACCAATTATATATAGACGTAAGCTAGGGACTCAAGAGGCTCTCCTTTACTGTGAGTTTCAAAGGTTTGGCAGGTTTTGCCTTTGTGATCAAGCAAAAAAAGAAGCTTGACAAATCCTTTTGAGTATGGAGTTCATGGACACCACTCATTTATTTATTAAGCTGCATGGCTTCTCAGAAAGTGTGTTAGTTGATAGTCTTTGAGGTAAAGAAAAGGTATATTAGCTTTTTGAAATTAGTGGCTCAGAGACTAAAAGGCTCAAACTACTGAGAATCTTGTCCAAGTTTGAATTGAACACAGTCTGTTTTTCTGCAAGAGGTTTGAATTGAACGTAGACTCTTTTTGGGATTCCTTAATTCAATAATTTGAAATAACTTTTGGGGCACTCAATATCCATAATCCCCATGTAATTTGGATTAACAAGTAAAATGATTAGCTATTGGGGCACTCAATATCAGTATTCCCTTAGCTTTAATTTTTCAATTGCTGCAATATTGTTCAAATAAAATTAACTACTTTTGTCGACTAACAAAGACATTATATGTTTCTGCTTTCGTTACAAGGTTATTGCATAATTAGTAAAGAAAGGGGTTTCACCTAACAGTCTAATGCTAGCTCTGTAGCTTGCCTAACTAATATGATTAAGAAAAGCTAAGGAAATGGAAGGGAGTATAATAAAGCTAGTCACGTAAGATTTCAAGGTTAAAACAAATTTCAAAGTTTTTCCACGTGGCAAGCTCTCATTACTCGATTCTGGTAACATGTGATGCAGATGTCATATTCTCATCTACAGTCTACACCAAATGATCACATTCACAGATTAAGGAACTAAGGTTGGCAATTATTTACTCGACCCAGCAAGACAGGTGGCTTCAGGGGTAGTCTGGACATCAGGATGGTCAAAATTAATTTGGCTGTTGTTAGATCTTCAATGCATTTAGAGAATTTTAATATCTGGAGATTATCTGATCCATTTATGAGGTTTATTTATGTAGTAGTAATTGGCAAAAGCTAGGGAGATCTGAACTATACAAAGAACAATCAAGGCCAATAACTCAATATATGTTCCACCCTGAAGCTTAACCAGACCAAAAAGCAAATAAATAAATAAAATTTCTGCTTAAGATCACCTTCTCTAAGGATCAGCTTGAAAGCTAACATTCCGACGGTTTAGGTTTTTGTGCTGACTTGATAGTATGGCCCTTTTAGGTGGGATTGTTAGGTATTTCTGCTTTGAATTCCAAGATGAGTAATGCAAACCTTAAGTAGTTTCCTGTTTGGAAATTAATACTATTTAAGTATTTTTTTTTCTCTCTCTGTTTTATTTTTTGGGTTTTGTTCCCCATGATTAGTTAACGCATTTTTTCCCATAAACATAGGCTAAGCATCTTGTTCAACCACATAAAATCTTGGTTTTCTATAATTTCTTCTCTTTTCTATATATTTCTGTTTTTTGTCCTATTTCTATGGTGCAATCAGTCTTTGTGATTGTGGTTCATTATCATCATCAATTCATCATCATCATCCAAGCCTTATCCCACTGTTTGGGATCAGCCACATGAATCCTGTTCATTCTTTGATTAATACTGTTTGGGATCAATCACATGAATCCTGTTCATTTTTTAATTAATGCCATACTCATTGTGATTGTGTTTCTGTACAATAAATATTGTCAACAATAAAGGTTGAAATTCGATTACTATAAAAGTTTTGGCTATAAGGTTTGGGGTGAAATAGTTTGGTGAAGAGAATAAAGTTGGTACGTTTAGGGAAAATAAATTAAAGTTTCATATGATACAGATAGTTTTAAACAAGAGCATTAATGAAATTGATAATTGAAGAACATTAGGATTTGTTTAATATATAAATACTTGGGATGGTGGATGAAACAATAAAAGATCTTTGTCCGCTTAGTTGAATTCACACCTAGCTGGAGATTTTGTGCCTTAAATTCCTTAATTGTTTAAGGGTTGTTCTGAATGCGCATTTTACTGCCATGTCAGCCAAAACAATAGCCACATAATAATCCTTGCCTTTTGTGTTGTTTTATATTTATTTTTTCCATTTCTTATGCTGCTAATAGTTCCTTCAACTACATTTCCACACGATTGAAACTTATCCAAGGATCATGTTCCTTGATCCAAACTTATCCTTTTAGGCTACGTTTGGTTGAAGCGTAATTTTATTTGCACTAATGCAAATGCATGGGAGTGCAAATGAAAAAAAATGCAAATTCTCATTTAATTTTGTTTTGAGTTTTACTTAATTCTGTTTTATGTCTTAATTTACTTTATTTGTACTGCAATCAAACGAAATAAGCTAAAATTTGAAACAAAAATAGGTATTGCAACTAAACACAGCCTTAGACTCAGTTTAGGAAGAGTGCAAATATAAATATGTACAGTGCAAAACTTTGTATATGGTATTGCCAAACCTTATATTTGTACTGTACATATTTGTATTTGCACTATTCTCAAACTGAGTCTAATAGGGTTAGGAAATGAAATGGAGTGGGGCGATTTGATATGTGATCATGCTTCATCAGCCATTTAGCATATTTGCATCCTCAAAAAGGATCCAAATTTCAAAATATATCTAACCGGATTTCTTTAGTTTCCATTTATGTTTTAATTTGTTTATTTGCATGACGGAAGAAATTTTGTACAACCTAATGCAAAGAAGAATCCAAAGCAAGAGGGAACCTGAATTTGCATTTTTATTTGCACTCATGCATTTATATTCTTGCAAATGGAGTTGCAATGCAAAGAAATGAAGCCTTAGGATTTGGCCCATTTATATGTCCTGACTATATAAATGGATCAGATTGGGATTCATCCCACATTATCTGACCAGGATGGGAATCACATAAAGTGATCCATTTCATACCCTGCATGGGGCGTTTGGATCTCCTATGGTCCTACTCACATCTATCTACCGGACACTAGAGCATATACTGAGAACTTTTTCCTATGAATATTAGCATACAAGTACAGGAGATGTTCCCGATGTATAACTGTGGTGTGGTATCGTATGCGGGTAGGAGATCCGGACAGTAGCTGATGAGATCCATTCATTATTCAATTGGGTTTTTTAGGCCGATGACCCAATAGCTGATGGTCACTTGGTATCCCTTGGTACATGGAGGCATGGGATCCAACTTACATAAGTGCAGGCTCTCCGTAGTAAGGTCAATAGGCCTCATGTGCACCCTGTTCCAACCCCATCCCCACTTCTTGTCCTAACCAACAACAAAATGAAAGGCAAGGAGGAGGTTCTCTATATGACCTATCACATTTTTTTCCCACATGGAGGGATGATGTAGTCCTGGTCCCCACCTTTTACTAATATTTTCTACAATTAATGTTAACCATTAAAAATTTTGACATTTTAATCTTAAACTTGTAGGGAAATAGGTATTCATTTTGAGAAGACATTCTATTTTTTTAAAATTTAAAAATGATTTTTTTTGGGTAAAAGGGAAAGCAAAAAAGAACACAATAGAATCGAGAGGCACCAAACACACCCGAACACAAAAACTAGACCTAGGATGCCACCCAACAAAACGTCTCTGTCTTTTGCTAAGACCATCCATAGCAATCTGAGCAAGCATTCAATAAATTTTTCACAAGAGTGTACTTAGTGATCGGCCCCAGTATCATTCTTACAATCCATACAAGAAGCTGACGATAGACACGAAATAAGCTCCTTGTAATCTCGAAAGCCCATTTTGGGCCCATTACCATATTGGCAAGTAAAGGTTATTTGGTCGTTCAGTAGTTTTCCCTGAACGATCCGATCAGCAGACCCGCTCCTTCAAGGAGATTATCATCTATACAGCCCTATTTAGTTTCTTTTTCACGGAGTTGTGAAATTGTATGTGATTCTCATGGCCCAATTCCAGATTACTTCAGTCAAAGGGCCAATGAAAATCAGGCGCCCAACAAATGTTTTCATTTCTTTCGGGCCCATCCAGATGCAGATTGCTGATTGCCGGCCCACACGATGGACAGGACATGGGACTCGGGTCTCAGGACTCTGGAGGAAAGCATCTCTCCTCTCGCTGTCTCACCGATCTGAAAGGACAGCTTTATGCGCATCTAGATCTCACCCTTTGATCTATATCAAAGTACATACAATGAAATGCTTTCAACTAATGTGATCTTACGTACATGCACTGAAAGCTGTGGTCCCTTTCCACTGGATTACGTGACGTGACACGCATTTAATCTTCCTTTTGCAATTATAAGAATTGAGCTGGGCCAAGTCCTGAAGAGTGGGCCTTTGGCTGTTGATTCCAAGGGCTCAACGGGACGATCACCATATTCCTTTCATATGAGAGACCGGATATGCTTTTCACACAGGGCGCCTTACTCAAATAATATTATTGACGGAAGATTAATAATTGGGATCTGCTCCTCACAAATGGAGCTTCACACCGACCTCATATTCACATCTCACCATAGATTGGGAATATCTCCAGTGAATAATAAGTACGGGAAATATTCTCAATATATGGTGAGATGTGAATGTGAGGTTGGTGTGATGCGCCCCTCTGTTAGGCAATTCCTTTCACAGCCATACGCGTTGAACCGCCTCTCATTGAGTGACATCTGTTAAACCATCCCTCCTTTATCATACACTCATCGTACGGTTCCGATTGAGAGATGATTCGGATCCAAGGAACCCGGATTCTAACTCCTAAGCAATCGGACTATCACATCACCAGGTTGATTTGCTAAATACGTATTCATCCCTGAATAGAGACCACGTGTCTACCTGGTTAGCCAAACCAGGACTGGCAGTCGCAAAAGAGTAACGCGACAATGATTGCTCATTTCCGTCATTCTCCTTCTATCTGAACTGGGAGTAATATCAACACTCGATTACCAATACTCTAAGCTGTGTAGAAAGAAAAGGACAACGTCCCGATTTCTCTTAATTTACTGAAGTATCCCTCTTATATTGTCCTCTTCATAGATGCATTGACGAAAAAGTCCATATTAGTGATGCTACTCGAGTTTTGTTTTACCTTTTTCCCTACTCTCCACCGTAGCATAAAATAGTAATTGCTGCCTCGCACGCTAACCTCTGCGGCTCTGCCAAAGCCCTTGGATTGCTAACCCCCCTCCACCATTTAGACACGTCAGCAGGGCATTTACCGTAGTACTTTGGAAAAGAACACATCACACGTCGCGTGTGAGGTCCTGTCATCGTTCCCTCCCTGGGGAGTGGGGACCACCAGGACCAAGGTATCCAGAGCCTTTTCTTTGTCTTTATTTGGGAATTAATATGTCATTTGTTATTAGACCTTTTTACCCTTCCACTATGTTGTTTTCTGAATTCTGATCACTACTAGTATCAGGATTCAGGATCTAAACTAGCACAACCACCCCTTCCTCTTGTCTTTTCAGTTAAGCAATCCCAATGTTCTATCTTACAGAAATAGTTATTGGCTATTTACACCTGTAATTTTCTCAAACTACCCCATCAGCACTTCTGCTTTCCTCATCTCTTGAACTTGCCCTTAGAGTTGGGGTAACGGACTAACGGCGTCCGAGAAGTTAGGGTGACAACGGTCAGACAACATTGACATTCATACTTGCCAGTTGCCAAGCCTAAGGGATAAGGGCTCGTTTGGTGTACTTCTTGTAGTAAGTTACCTTGTAAATTATAGTCCCCACCAGAACTGAAAGGCTGAAACCCTTATTACGAAGACTTAAGTGGGTGAGTGGACGAATTTCAGAAGGCTATTCCTATTATATTTGATAGGATTAATCTTTTTCTGTTTTTTTTTTTCTTTTTTTGCTTCAAATGATTAATTTATTTCAGTGAGAAAGAAACAAACAGTGCTAAAAGGAGAAGGAAAAAAATAAAAAGAAAAAATGAAATACTGGCCAAACAATGCCATATTAAAATACTTGATTTATTAGATTATTCGCTCTAGGGATTAGTGAAGACAATGCCTCTTTTCATTTTGCTTCTGGCGTGTGAAATGACTAAAATACCCTCAATCATTTGGTTCGAATTCGAAAAAGCAAAAAAGAATCCAGCCCTCGGCGGCAAATGTATGCAGATGCAGGCAAGGACTGAAACCTGACGGAGGAGACAGAAACCACGTGGTCGTCCATTTGTATTCAACGCCCTCACTCACCGGTGTTACCTTCGCTAGTTAAATGACTAAAATACCCTTCAATATTTGTTTAAAATGCTTCTCTTTCCCAGACCAATAAAATAATCAGCCATCGCAGACACGAGTACACGACGATATATAAATATATACAAGGAACAGCAAGGAGAGAGGGCCGGTGTTGGGACCTTGGGCGTCTGTTCCGGTATCGAATCTGTTATTTTGCGAAAATGTAGGGTCTATTATAAGAAACCAAAACCCCAAAAATGCCCTTTTCTCTATCTTACGCAAGAGTCACGTGCGGTCTGATGTACGGCGTCGTGCTTTTCGCCGTTGGGGAGAGAGAGAATAGAAGTGTTGTTGTGTTGTTAGTGATACAAGTTATACACACAAACACAATATAGCGCCAGCGGGTAGCAAGTAAGTATCTCACAGTCTGCTAAAAATGGTCTGGTACGGACGGTTGCAGGCTTTAGGGAGTCCATCTTTATGGATAAAAGCAACGCGTCGAAGGAGATCAGCTTTCTTTTCTTCTGCTGCTGCAGAGAATGGATCATGGGGGGTTTTGATGAGGAAGAAGCTTCTTTTAGGGTTCTCACTGGAGTCGCCAGCAGGTCTACTATCTCTGCTTCTCCTCCTCCTCCTCCTCCTCCATTGTTAGTCGTAGCCGTAGCTGCGCTCTTTATCTTTAGAATGATAGTGGTGTTTCTCTCTCTTCTTCTGCGACCCCGCAAACCGCATTTTAAATGAATGCATTCATATCTTATGCTCCTGCTGCTCCTGCTCCTGCTGTTTCTACTGCTGCCGCTGTTGTCGCAGTCCTTACACCCTTGTCTTTATAGTTTCAGAAGCCCTAATTTCTTCTGTCTCTGCCACTTGACCTTTGCATTGCATTCATTACCCTAACTAATAATTGCTGCTGCGCCTCCTCGTCTACTTCACCATCACGGCTCCACCACCTCCACCATCACCACCACCTACTACTACTACTAGTCTTCTACCACTACCAACACTGCTCTGCTCTGTCATTGCTTTTCCCCTGGGTTCCGGTAATCAACTTCCCTTTCCTCCAGCGATTTCTCTCCCCACCACCAATGGCGTCTCCCACTCGCTCCTCTTCTCCCGTTCCTTCTCTGCCTCCGCCTCGCCCCAAGTCCCCTCCTCAGTATCCTGATTTGTACGGCAAGCGTCGGGAGCTCTTAAAGGTTCAGATGCTCGAAAGAGAGATCGGCTTTCTTGAGGTCTGCAGCTTTTCCACATTCTCTCTCTCCTCTGTCTTTTTCTTCCTCTTCTTCTTCATCATCTCCTCTGTAATTTACAACTGTTGGATTTGTACAGCCAGTTCCTGAAAATGGTATTTGATTAGATATATCTCCTATACATTCCAGATTCTGTACGATTATTATCTTTACATTTTCGTCGGATTGATTGGGTAAAACACTGCATCCTTTACATCAGAGTGAATTAGGAGAAAGGAATAGTATCAGCAACTAACTTCTTGAAAACATTAATTGGTTTTCCATCTCTTCTCTTCTGGTCAAAATGAAAGCCGTCTTCTTCTAAACTAGCCACATTCACGAAATCGGGATCGCCCTTCTGGTTCAAATTGCACGCCTTCCTTGATTCTCAGCTTCTCACCGAGTGAAAAAACAAGCCTAGTAACTGACTCCCGTACTACCAAATCGACCTGCACTTTTCAAATTCATCTGCCACTGCTTAGAATTGAATCTTGCTTTTGAAGTTACATCCCTTCTTCCCGTTGTCGTATTTCATTATTTGAAAGAAATATTCTGGCACATGAACTGAAAAACAAAGACAGATGAACATTTCATTTCCGATTTTCTGAGCATAGACTTGGCTTATGTGGCGTATGCTTGGTCTAATCTGATAAATTAGCTTGCTAGTTGAAAACCCAGAGTAAGACGGAAAAAGGGAATCGGTGAATGAGTTCCAAGAATGATTGCATCAAGACCTATATTAGTCATCCTCTATGTCTTTCACAGCTTACAACAGGAAATTTGAGCCAACCGTTACAATGGTTTCACCTAGTAGATCTCATGAGAGTTGTCATAAGGTACCCTGTATGAAATGAAACTAAATCAGATGACCAATGATGAACAGGAATTTCTTATTCTAACTTGTAGGGGAAAAAATCTTCCGTTCAAATAAATGTAATAAATTATAGACTTGAATAAAACAATAGCATTCCCTTTTATCTTCGTTGTGTGGCACGGTGCACTTCATTGTGTTCCAACTCCAAGTGTAGTGCAAGTTTTTACCAAAAAAAAGCCTACTGCAAGTAGTTTACATTCTACAGGACTTAATGAGAAACTGGTTATGCTATCTTATTTGGGTGCAGATATTGCTTCAAATGAGAATAAACATGGAGCTTCTGGCTTCATTACAGCTTGGATTTATTGATCTTAGTCTGAAGCATCTGCAGCTTTTCTTTTCCTTCTTTTCCCATTTTTTTAATATACTCCACCTTGTTGAAGAAGATGACTTCTGTTTCTAAGTTCACTTTGAATAATTATCTCAGCCATGATTTACATGTTATCCTAACTCTGGCAGGGTAGCTTGTAATTAGATACCACAATTATGTTTCCAGGTTGATTGTCATTTTAACAGGGATGACTATTAATTAAAACTTAGGCATATTGTAATTATAATATCCTGTGATAATTCAAATAGAAGATGCTATTTACTCTGTTTAATTTATTTCACGAACTGTTAACGCAAAGCAGGCATGTAGAAGGGGAACAACCTGAAAATATTGTTTATCTGTTTGAGAGTTACGGAAAATGAATAATGTCTTAATAGACAATTTGTTGCAAGCAGGAGGAGTTAAAATCGCTTGAAGGCCTTCAACCTGCCTCTAGACGCTGCAAAGAGTATGCTTTTTCTTCTTCGTTTCTTCTTTTGTGCTTGTTCAATAGTTTCCTTACATAGCACCAGTTTACCTCATTTGACCGACCTATTGAAAGATTTTAATTGATGCATATTAGTCATTCTATGCTCTTCAGTTTATATCAGGAACATATGTAGGCTATATTATTAAAGAATTTGCAATTTTCACTTCGCAGGGTTCATGATTTTCTGATGGCAAACCCAGATCCTTTGATACCCACGTAAGATCTTACAACATCATATTTCGTTGTGGAAATTTATAAAGTGATCTGATTTCTTATGCTTTTCTTTTTCAACCAGAAATCGGAAGATCCGTAGATCACATCGCTTCTGGAAATGGCTTTGGTACTTTTCCTGGTTCTTATCTTATCTCTTTTAATTCTGGAAGACACAAAACCCTGTTATTGCAAATGCATGCATAGGAAAGCATTTTCTTTAAATAGAAAACCAGAATGATGCATACTGCCAATACAAAAACAGAATGGGAAATATTTTCTCTTACACAGTAAAATAACATATATAGATATATCTGAAATTCATTATAGGAATTATTGCGTTCTTCTCATGATTGAAAGTATAAAATTTACCATGTCTTGAATCAACAATCATTTAATGCATGCCCAAATGAAACACTCAACTAATGCGTGCCTTTTTTTTTTGTGTTAACAAGCGTGCTATGTATTCTTGCTGTTTTTTCCTATTATTTCTTTTGCTAGCCTATGAAAGATTATTTCACAAAGTTCTCTTTATGATTTGAACATCTTCCTTTGACTGCTATTCTCTTTATGTGGGCTATGTGCCATACACTTTTGAGCCTATGATGTTTCCATCATAACCACTGTAGGTGTTACAAGTAAGCATTGTGGATCAGCCGTTAAGGAATCTCTGTGGGTTATTATGAAGGGCATATGATGTTTGAACAAGGTGTTTAAAGCATATTTTACCAATGGTAACATATCCTAATATCTAGTGAAAGCATAAAAGTAATAACCAGTGACATTACCAAAAGGTGTTTAAATTTGCACATCCTGTTTTCTTCTTTCTTTTCTTGGGAAGGGGAGGCTCCAAGTCAGATTACTGTAAATGTAGAAACCAAAAACCTCCTAACATATGGTGAAGGACTGAGTTTTGAAGGCATTCTTACCTTCTGTCATATCAAAGGTTCCTCTTCTCCCCTGCAAGGGGGTTGTTTGACTAGAAATGGTTCTGATCATTATTTACTGCTTACCAGAGATGAAGGAAGTAGTCAACCGTGACTAACTAGATTCAATCATGTTTACATGATTGTGTTGCAAATATTCCTTACAGGTTTGACTAGGAACATAATGATTTGATTTTAGAATACTCTTGTTACAAGTAGTGTTTTTGTTCTCCCATTTTGCTTTATTTTATAGTTGATTGGAAATTATTTTCCCTTTTCTCTTCTTTCCTTTATCTTTTTCTTTCCTTCATATCTTTTTTTTTTCCCTTTTGTATCAATTGGTCCAATTTGAATACTGAGATTCTTCCTTTAGTTCTCTAAATAATTACTTTCTGCATGCAAACATGCAAGATCTTTTATTTTAGCAGACTATACTTGTTGTATTTATTTCAATTAGGAACCAATTAAATATACCAAGCTGCTTGCAAGGGTCTTGGGCTTTGTATCTCATATGCACTCATTGCAGATCCAATCATCTTAGTCCTTTCGAACTAAGGAAACCTTTTGTGTTGGTGCCAGTCCTATCAATACAAGGATAATGATATTATTCATTCCATTTGACATGTGTTATTTTTTACCTCCAAGTTGATTATTTGAGATGAGTTCCATTGGATACCAGGATAATGCATGGTTACTAGTGGTTTATCTGTCATTGTGGATGGTATTAAGGCATTAAGATCCTTCTCATTTGCTTCACTACAACACATGTTTTTTGTGCAGTGGGAAGTCCTGCTTCAACTTTTCATGGATTTGCTGCTGCTTCAGTGGGTGCTCACTTCGTTTATCAATGCCAAGCTGCTGCAACTGCTGTCCATCAATGAAATGTTGGTTCTGCCGCTGGCCACGCTGCCATTGGCCACGTTGCAGCTGGCCTAGTTGTACTTGGCCTAGTTGCACCTGGCCCAGTTGCACGTGGCCTAGTTGCACTTGGCCTCGTTGCGCCTGTCTACGTTGCACCTGCCCACATTGCACTTGTATTCATTGTCACTGTCCCCATTGCCACTTGCCCACATGCTGCTGCTGCTACTTCTGCTGCTGCTTGGAGAAACCATCTTGCGGACAGTGTTGCACTCTTCCTTCTCTTTCTTGCCCAGATTGTGATCCTTGCAGTGGATGTACATGTTCTTGTCCTAAATGTACAAAGGTATGCCATTGTTCAAATTGTACAAAAACATGTTGTAGTCCCTGTTATCTATGTTAGTAGGCATTGATCATGTACGATTTCATAGATGGCTACCTTGTTCTTAGGCATGCTAATTTTATTCTATTGGAGTACAAGTGTTAAATAATTTTTGCCCAGGTTGGACATGTTCTATTTTAAGCTTTACAGGTAATAAATTTTGAATGTATCTAATGATTTATATTCTAGTTGTTCTGACACTTGTATTGAACAAGTTATTGGAGGTGCCAAAGGAGAGTGCACATTCTCTTTCCATTCAAACAGGCATGGTAGAATTCATTTAAAGGATTCTGCTTGGTTCCAACCCTAAGAGGTGAAAAGTGTCCAATTTGACCATATTTGATAAGCAAAAGAAGTTGGTTGGATTAGTAAGAAATAATTTAAGCGCTCATAATTTAACAATGAACATGGCACTAAAGAATAGAATGGCAAAACAGGATTCATGTAACTGACCCATGTAGTTAGGACAAGGCTTTAGATGATGATGATGAATCTCAGGGCTTTTTGAATGAAGTCCAAACTTTGTTTGGATACTACCATCTGTGTTGTATGGAGATTTGGTTCATGGAAGTTTATGCTCTGCTAATTTTATGTAATTGTGTTGTTATTAGGAATAAAGAAAGTCAGACCCTTTCTATCTGGTGACGTTGTTCTTCTCATCGTATTATATTCTATTGAACCATTTAGAAAACTTGAAGTTGTCTTTATTCTGAGGGGATATTAGGTTGATAAGATTGTGATGATTTGTGTAAGATAAAGTCTTGGGGGTGGGGAAGGGGTGAGGTCGGGGAAGAAATGTGCAATGGGAAAAGAGGTTACAAATGTACGCCACCTTATCTATAACAGTCTGGTTTCTAATTTCTAGTATAAGCAATTGACAATCAATTTGGCTTACAGTAACGGGGAGGGGTTTCTGAAGTCGTTTGACAGTTCTGTGGCAGCAAATTTTGAGAGTTTAAAGCCTCCTACAGTCTAACTTAGACTAGTTGGGTTAGATTTTGGGTATGAGAGTTAGGGCCTTCACAAGTTGCTTAAATCTTGATCCAAATGGCGCTGCTGGTTCTCCTTCAAATAGGTCCGGACCAATTTTGTCATGGCAACGATTCAGGGAGGTGAGCCTCAGCTGCCATTGAACTCTTAGAGGCCGTCTTACACTTGGTAAATGATGTCTGCGTCAATATTATGATTTGATTTTGTCCTCTCAGAAGAAAAGTCAGGGATAAGTAGACTGCGGTCCACATCAGAAATCTGAAATTATAATCCCCTCGTAGTCTATTAGTAGCCACCTATAAACCTTATCCCGTCTGTGGATTTGGCATCGATTCACGTCAGAATTCATCCGACCTGTACGGTGCGGCTCAGATTTCTAGGGTGGACTGAACAATAAAAATGCGGGCAGGCAGCACCCTCTACCACGTGATTTTGCTTGTGCAAGTTGAGTGAATCATATATATATATATGAACTGACAGACTGACTTACAGTCTTACACTCCCATTTAACTGAACACATGCTGCAAGTTGCACTAAGAAAAATCATCAACGGGTATTTAAAGAAAAAACTAAGATATTAGATAATGTCTAGTGGATGTTTATCTTAGAAAATGGTTGGAAATTAGGGGTGGATTTGAGTTGAGCCAAGCCAAATACTTGGCTTTTCGAGCTTGACTCGCTGAAATTGTGTTAGGCTTGAGTTTGAGTTTGAGTTTGATTCGAGCTAGAGACTTGAACTCGAGTTTGGCTCAGTTCGAAACTTGTAAGTTTAAGTTTGGTTCGATTCAAGCTCAATTGTAAGTTGAATTTTTTTTCTCAAAAATAAAAATTATACGTATAAAAATATTTTTTTTATTTTACATACAAAAATTAAGAATTATAAAAATTATTTACTATTATACATAAAAATAAAAATATTATATATAAAATATTATTATATGTAATAAAAATTATTTATTATTATACTAGGCTTATGAGCCTTATTTCACTATGCTCGAACTCGGCTCGAATCTCGATTTAAATCGAACCAAAAAGGACTTTTTCAAGAGCTGAGTTCGAATAGCTGGTGAGAGATCGGCTGGTGGAAACTCGGACTCAGTCTATTAATTGTTCCCAAAAATAAATATGCCGGTGTAATCAATTGTTTGAGTGATGGGAACACACAGTCCGTCCAAACAAACTGGACTGACAAATTTATCGCCTACTGGTAGGCATGCACGTGAAAATTTTGTCACATCCTAAAAAGAATATGGTAAAAAAGACAACCATACCAATTTTAGAAATTGCTTAATATGGACTTAAATAACATCATGTACTTAAACATAACCCTGTATTAATAAAACATTATATGCTGTTAAGATGTGACATCAGTTACTTGCTTTGTTGCTTTAAAGATCCAACTTTGTCATTTTATTGATCCTCAATCAGATTGGGGCTGGTTGATCGTTTTTAATGATGTATCGATAATTGTTTGTAAGATAAATAAATTTTCCTATAATAAGCCCTATGTGGGTAATTGATTTTTTCATCTGAGGGGAAAATTGCAAAATATTATAAACTAAAATTGTCCTTTCGAATAATAAAACATATGGATAAAAGTGATTAATTGTTTAACTTGTAAGAAACTAGGTTATGGAAAAAAAATGGGCTAAGCATGAAGTATCACACTGAGACTTGGCCATCACTGCCATTTTAGCTGAGATTGTCGTGTCCGGCTTCCCACTTGGTTTTCTAATGGCTTCCATGATCATTTATAACGCCTTGACCACCATCTTTGCCAATTCAAGAGCCGGTTTATGCTATATACATGGTCTCTGCAATTAGGGGTGTCAATTGGACTGGATTTCGTTCAATCTGATCCAGTCCAATGTGAGTCCATTATAAATGGACCAGGTCCAATTCAGTCCAATGAATATTTTGGATCGGTCCAATTCAATCTGTTCAAACTTGTTTTGATTTAGATTGGTTTCAACCTAAATCTGGTTCATCGATACCTATATTCTTATCTTATATCAATGGACCAGATATTGGCTTAAATTTATTATGGATGGACCAGGTCCAATCCAACCTAATAAATATTTTGGACCGGACTGGTCCAATCCAATATCTCTTGTTAGTTGACACCCTTGTCTGCAATTTTTCCCCCTCAAAAAAAAAAATAATAATAATAATAATAATAATAACCATCTCTGGAATTAAGACTCAGTTTAAGAGTACAAATACAAATATGTCGAGTGAAAAACCTTGTATTTTGTATATATTTGCACTGTAGATATTTGTGTTTGTACTCTTTCCAAACTAAGGTGTATAACCTTCTTTGTTGTAAGCCAAAGGTCTGATTTCCCTCCTTTGTTCCGACTTTCAATTCCTGCAAACACCATTGTTGAGCTTCACTGCTAAATTCCTGATTCCATCACTGTTCCTTGAACTCCAGTTTCTTGATTTCTATGTTTTTTCCCCATTTGTGATTATATATATTTTAAGTCGCAAAACTCTGTTCTTCGGACCCACTTCCTGAATTTCAATTATTTGCAATAAACCGACTTATAAGAGCTTTGATGGCTCCCGTTGGAAATCTGGTTAATCTTTCAGCTCCTTTTTTTCGATTCTATTTTTGTCTATGAATAGGCATTATCCTAATTCTATTATTCTCAATCTCAAGAACCGATCGGTTGTACTCCAAGCCTCACGTCTTGCATTCTTACCATTCCCACAGAATAAAATCTGTTCTTTGCTCCAATTGAGTTATCTACAAAGTACGGCAGAACTCTGCACTGAACCATTAATGGAACACTGAACTCAGACAATAGTAAGGAAGAAAATGACAATATTTGATAAGAATATCTTTTTCAAGAGAAGGGATGCATGTGTGCAGAGAGAGAGAGAGACTTTAGGAGATATAAATTGAAGAATGCACTGCATTTCAGTAACCGGAAACGTAACTCCCTGGGATGCCACCCATCATAATATTAATTCTAACTCTTATAACATTCTTCTGTAAACTGCGACTCAAACGGCAGCAGCAACTTCTTCAAACACCTCCTAAACATCGAGAATAATGGCATAGTTTTCGCTGAAGTCTGAACCACTTGCAGGCTGCAGCAACGAATTATTGTGATGAAATTGTTCGCCAGAGAGAAGAGCAACTCCTAGGTGGCCGGGAAACACCTCACCGGTTAGAAAGTTACAGGAGAGCGCCTGATCTTGATCAATTGATCCGGCAACACCCTCATCCACATATGCATTGACAAGCTGATCAGCATCATTTATAAAGAAGCATGCATCATAGTCACCACCACTGGCACTGACCGTTTTTAATAAATTGACCAGAGTCATCCAACAGTGGTCCTAGCGGCAAAACGATTACAGGGGTGCTACCAGACCACATCCATGGCGTACTATGATAATTAAGCGGATCTTAAGCCAACCCTGATGCCAAACTCAGCGAAATATTCGGTCTGAGATCATGCACCCAACTTCTAACATCCCCAGTCCAATCCTTTTATTAAAAGGACCTATATGCATGGCTAGCTCCTACAGAATTTCAACTAAAAACACAGCAATTCAGGCTGAAGAAAACACCTCGGCACCAGAAGCCATCTTGGGCCATATAATGGGCTAAAGTGGTTGAACTGAATGACTTGATTGTGGGTGGGCATTTTGAGAAACATCAAAGTCGACTATGTTCCTGCAGCCCACCCAAGCTTCAGCAGCGTTGAATTTTTTATCCTTTGCCTGAAGAATAGCATCTTTCCAAGAGAATCATCTGCTTCGATTAATCTTTATGTGATTTCATGGTGGTTGCCGGTTGGTGGGGGTTTCTGGCCAACAAGTTTGAACGGATGAAGTATAATGAGCTAGAGCTCTGATTAGAAACCTATTGCCACCAATATTGAAAATTTCAGGATTATTAGCATTCACATAACAACATGAAAAAGCAAAGAAAAACTCAATTACCACAAGAATGACAAACTACAACTCATATACTAAATACATTATTCAAGCACTGAAACTAAGATGGGGATTGGGTTTCCAAATTAAACAACTATGGTAGTGCAAATGATTTGGCTGCAAGTTTTGATTGCAGCTACAAACAGTGCAAATTCATTTGTACTGATGCAAAACTATGATAGTGCAAATTGGCTGCAAGTTTTGATTTATTTTTGTTTCAAATTTTACCCTACTTTGTTTGTTTGTTTGTTTGAATTAAAAATGAAGTAAAATAAGACATAAAGCAGAATAAAGTAAAATCCAAAACAAAATTAAACTAAAATTTACATTTTTTTTCATTTACACTCTCATAAATTTGTACTGATGCAAATAAAATTACACTGCAACCAAACACAGCATCAAGATCATTCCAAAAAAAGTTCCTTTCTCTCACTCACATCTCGTTGAACAAAGCAAGGCTTACATCTTTGTTCCTTAAAGATGATCTGCTCTCATGGTTGCGTCTGCTCTTCAGCTTTGAAGAGTGAAGTAGTGGACTACTTTTTAATAGAGCAGGGGGCATCTTCACCGCCCAAATTGGACAGAAACATCCCAATCCCAAAACCAATCTGATTTATCAGGTCCTGGTTTTTCCAATTCAAGTACATGTTTTAGACGATAAAAGCCTGGGTTTGGCTCAAATCTAGTATGGAATTTGCGAAGCAAAAATAACACCATCAAATTGCCCTCCTACTTGCATTAGAAAGGTCAGAAAGAAAGGAAAAAAAAATGGTGCATGTGCAGCACAAAAAATAATGTTGAACACTTAGTTGTTAGAGCTGAAAGTAACACATTTTCCTTCTCGCAATAAAACCCTAGATCCTGTTATCTCCACTATTAAAGAAAATCTTAGGCTATGTTTGGAAGGAGTACAAATACAAATTTGTAGAATACAAAACCTTGTTTTTTGTATTATTTTGTGTGCGTTTGCACTGTACATATTTGTATTTGTACTTCTTCCAAACTGAGCCTTAGAATTTTTTCATGCAAAGATCTCAATATTTGTTTTGGGTTTTACTTTATTCTGCTTCAAATCTTATTTTGTTTCATTTGTACTGTAATCAAACAAATTAAGATAAAATTTGAAACAAAATTTGCACCTAAATCATTTGAGCTACAAAAGTTTTGTATCAGTGTAAATTTACCAAACACAGACTTAAAGTTGTGTTTGGAAACGATGCAAATGGAGTATAAATCCTGGTTCAGGGTAAATTTGCACTCTGGTTCACTTTTGCCTGTGTTTGGCAACATTACATTTATGCATTGACAAATGACAGACCAATGCATATTTATATTGATAATAAGATGTAAAAATACATCAATAAAAAAGAAATAAATAAACTAATCCAACTTTACAATTTATATAAACCGTTTTACACTCTACATATTTGCATTCACACTTATTTTACACTTACTTTTTTTAAATAAAAAAAAAAGAAACAATTGTATTTATAGGAAAGAGGTCTAAAACCCACTTTTATAAATAAAAAAACGCAACATAAAAATTTAAAATGGACCAACTTGATGAACACCCGACTAGCAAGCTGCCAAGCTCACAAAGAAATTTATCAATTAGGTAATCCGCTCTGGTTATTCAAATTCTGTTTCGTCTGTTTGTTTGTTGGGTCTGTTGCTCTGTAATTCCCTTTCTTTTAATGTAAACCCATCAGTTACCAATGAGGAGTACTGAGTTGTAGCTGTAGCCTGTAGCTGCTAATCTAATCCGGTATTGCTGAGGAAAGGGAGCCACAAGGACAAATCCTTTTCCTTTCTCTCCCTAGTGTCCAAATTCCAACCACTTGATTTGTTATTTGCGTAAACGCCAAATACCATGCTTCAATTGGAAACTTCCCTTGTTGAATGGCAAATCCTCGTCTCGAACTCTCATTTGCGTTTCTTTTGGGTCTGTGCAGTATGCAAAGTTCTGGGAGATCCGAACTCGGGGGTAGTGGGCGTTACAGTCAAGTGCAGGATGCAATATTTGCTCTTGCCACTCACATCTCGTTTGTGATCCCGATTCCCCGAACATCACACACGATGTGGCAATATCACAAGATTAAGTGGACTATCACTCGGATGCCAAATCCAAGATAATAAACGAAACCAAACAACCCCAACCCCCACAAACAACCACGTTCTTACGTGGATCAAATCACACCGTTCGATTTACTGGGTCATGTTATTGCATTCATTTTCGGGACAAAAACAAGCGTCAGGACATCACTGTAATTGACTTGACACACAATATAACCCCGATTTCACACTCAAACTACGAAATTGCCCTTACAACCTTTGCCCCCTTCCTGTTACGGGAAACGGGCGGTACGGCGGTATCCTATGAAAATTATTGAAACACCCGAGAATGGTCAGGATGAAATTCTGGCTGGAGTTGGATAATCTTATCCGTACATCCCACAACTACAACTCGAATCTTTGCAGGGTTACGTATATGTATAACAGATTGGCTTATCCTCATTCGTAGAAAAATCTCTACACAGTATGATGCCGGGAAGACATTATACCGGAAAGGCTAAGGGTACTGATGTAAATAAAGACAAAAGCCCATCCAATCAATTGAAAGACGACGTGGACAATTATACATAAATGGATGCGATGCGATAGCTCCTCTCTCTCTCTCTCTCTCTCTCTCTCTCTCTCTCTCTCTCACTCTGTCCTCGCTTTTTTATTGAGTTGACGATGATTGAGGAGAGTGTGTAGATCCTCCTCCACCGGACAACCACCACCACCACCGCCGACGATAAAAAGGAAGTTGAAGCAGAACCGAAGAAGGCTACGGCCCCCGTCATGGCCATTTCGGTGCCTTCTATGATCAACTCCGTGTTTCTCTTTTTATGTGTTGTCCTTACTACCATCTCTCCCACGCTATCGTTCCATGGCGTTCAGACGTTCATCGTCCACGTGTCAAAATCACAGCGACCTCCATACCTCACATCTCACCATTGGTACAGCTCCATCCTCCGTTCTCTTCCCCAATCTCCTCCCTCCACCAGGATCCTCTACGTCTACGACCACGCCATAACCGGCTTCTCCGCCCACCTCACCCAATCTCAGGTCGCCGAGCTCCAACGCATCCCCGGCGTCCTCTCCATCCTCCCCGACCGTCCCCACCAACTCCACACTACCCGCACCCCTCACTTCCTCGGCCTTGCGGACACTTTCGGTCTATGGCCCAACTCTGACTACGCCGACGATGTCATCATCGGTGTCCTCGACACCGGTATCTGGCCTGAGCGTCGCAGCTTCTACGACTCCGACCTATCCGAAATTCCTTCCGGATGGAAGGGCACCTGCGAGACCGGCCCCGATTTCCCGGCCTCGTCGTGCAACGGGAAGATCATTGGAGCAAGAGCTTTCTACAGAGGATACGAAGCTGCCCTTGGAAGACCCATGAACGACACGGTGGAGTCGAAATCGCCGAGGGACACCGAAGGGCACGGGACTCACACGGCATCCACAGCTGCCGGAGCAGCCGTTAGAGAAGCTGGGTTTTATAAGTTCGCGGTGGGGGAAGCCAGAGGCATGGCTACCAGGGCAAGAATCGCTGCGTACAAGGTCTGCTGGAAACTCGGTTGTTTTGATTCCGATATTTTAGCCGCAATGGATCATGCCATCGCCGATGGCGTACATATAATCTCTCTTTCCGTTGGCGCGACCGGCTACGCACCTCCATACTATCATGATTCTATCGCCATCGGAGCGTTTGGCGCCATTCAGAAGGGCGTGCTTGTTTCTTGCTCTGCCGGGAATTCTGGGCCGGAACCGTACACCGCCGTCAATATTGCGCCATGGATTATCACCGTTGGAGCGTCAACCATCGACAGGGAATTTCCAGCGGATGTTGTGCTTGGCGATGGGAGAGTCTTCAATGGAGTGTCGCTATACTCCGGGGATCCGCTCGGCGATTCGGGTCATCTGTTACCTCTCGTGTATGCCGCAGACTGCGGCAGCAGACTGTGCTATCCGGGTAAGCTTGATCCGACGAAGGTGGCCGGGAAGATAGTCGTGTGTGACAGGGGAGGTAATGCTAGGGTCGAGAAGGGAAGTGCCATCAAGATCTCCGGCGGAGCGGGGATGATTATGGCCAACACGGCCGAAAGCGGCGAAGAGCTCATAGCCGATTCTCATCTCCTCCCGGCGACTATGGTGGGTCAGACGTCAGGAGACAAGATCCGCGACTACATCAGATCAGATCCCTCGCCAACGGCCACCATAGTGTTCCGAGGGACGGTGATTGGGGCTTCACCCTCGGCTCCAAAGGTGGCATCTTTTTCGAGCCGTGGTCCGAACTATCAAACAGCAGAGATCCTGAAACCGGACGTTATAGCCCCCGGCGTCAACATCTTAGCCGGATGGACCGGGTACAATGGGCCGACCGATTTGGACATCGACCCGAGAAGAGTGGAGTTCAATATAATATCGGGAACCTCCATGGCCTGCCCGCACGTCAGTGGATTGGCCGCTTTGCTTCGGAAGGCATACCCGAAGTGGACCCCAGCTGCCCTAAAGTCTGCCCTCATGACGACAGCGTACAACCTGGATAACGGAGGAAAGAATATCTCGGATCTTGCAACTGGGAAAGAATCAACACCGTTCGTACATGGAGCGGGACACGTAGACCCAAATAGAGCCCTTGATCCGGGTTTGGTATACGATATAAGCGTGAATGACTACGTGGAATTCCTTTGCTCCATTGGATACGACGAGAAGATGATCGCGCTTTTCATCAGGGATGGCAATACAAGTGTGAATTGCAGTGCACAGAGCTTACCTAGTCCTGGGGATCTAAACTACCCATCATTCTCTGTGGTATTTAAATTGAACGGCGGGAAAGATGTGGTGAAATACAGGAGAGTTGTTACGAACGTGGGAGATTCAGTGGATGCGGTATACGAGGCGAAGGTATGGGGTCCAGATTCGGTTGAGATAAGTGTTTCGCCGAGTAAGCTTGTGTTTAGTGGAGAAGAAGAGAGGCAATCGTATGAGATAACATTCAAGAGTGTGGTCCCACCAAATGAGACGGAGGAGCGTACAGCGTCAGCGTCCAAGTTTGGGTGGATAGAGTGGAGCGATGGAAGCCACAGAGTGAGAAGCCCAATTGCATTCTGGTGGCAGCCGAAGCTGGTGTCTTCCATTTGAATTTTAATTAATATACTAGTACTAGTGTGGTGGTCTAGCCGTGCAGGGAGTAGGGATAATCATCTGACGTTGGTATTTAATATTCATGTTGGAATTGGAAATACTTGGATTTTATTTACGTTGGAATTGGAAAGACCCAAAATCAAGCAAAAAAGTTGGAATCTACTTGATTGTTCATTCATCATATACACTAAAAATTCAAGTGTATATGTATGTATATGAAGAACAAAATGAATTCAAAATAACTTGTTGGAAACTTGGACCTAATTACCAGTCTTTTAGTATAAATACCAACACCCAACTTGCTTTTACGCTGAAAATCTAATCCTGCTCTGTTCATCTCTCTTCCGTTTCTCATGCATAATGAATCAAAACAACAGGATTTTAATTACCAAAGTTAGCGGAAGATGGAGTGGAATTTGGTCCTTTGGATTTAGTGGGGATCCAAGGCTGGTATTGTAGATATTGTTTGAGTTTAGTCAGAGGAGAGGGAGTAAGGAAGGACATGAGATGATAAGATGGGATAACATTCACCCCAATGTTTTTTGAACAGCCGTTGATTCAGGCCCTTGGACCGTTTGACCTGTGAACCGTTCCGTATTACATCAAATCCAAACTCTGGCCAAAAATTGATTAATTGATCAGCGATCTGTTGACCTGGATGATAAAACTGTTGATCCATTTAATGGTTTTAATCGTTTTTTATTTTTTTCCATTGGAACAGGCCATTCATTCGGACCGATGGTCAGAATGTTTTGATTCCGAGCTGGTTTTTAAAACCTTATTCAACCTCCATATCCAATCATTCTAGTCCAAATACAACGAAATCAGGACTTGTGTAACAACGATTCTAAAAAGAGAAAAACGAAACAGAATTTCTTATAGGATCCATTTAAGTAGGGGTGTAAATGGATCGAATTCGAATCGGATCGGATCAGACAATATCCGAATTCGAATCTGATTAGAAAATCCAATATCCAAATTTGATTCTATATCTGACAAATGTTGAAAATTAATATCTGAATTTGAATCTAATTAAATATTCAAATATTCGATTAACTAATTATTTTAGATAATTAATAAATATTTTATTGATATAAAATATATAAATATATAACTTAATTATTATATATAAAAATTATACAAAATATTTTATATATTATATATAAGAATTAAATAATCAGTTGAATTTAGATATTTATCGAATCGAATAAGATCATATCCGAATTCGAATCCGATTAGCTATTCGATAAGAATAGGATATCCGACTTCAACCATTAAATCGAATTATCCGAATCTAATTTGATTATACCGAATATCGAATTTGAAATCAGATTTTTAAATACTATTTACACCCCCTACATTTAAGTAGTTTCTCTGTTTCTCAACTATATAGGGTACATTTAAGTAATTAAGCCTTATTTAAATTACAAATCGGATACGGTGGGTGTGTTTTCGATTCAATTATAAACGGAATGAATCCACATCACCGTCGATCAGATTTCAATTTCAGAGAAAACACTGTTTGTTTGTCAGCCCTAATTCCAAGTCCCAAGTGCTGCTTGGAACACTCCTTGGCATGAACTGAAAGAAGGTTCTACCACATGGGCTGGTGTGGGCTGGTGCCGGAATGGGGCTAGGACCATCATTTACCTAATAGGCAAGAGCCCAGCTCTTGCTTAGCCAAGGGCCCAGGACCATCATTTGTATTTTTTTTTATTTTTTTTTTAATTAGGTTTACAGATGTTAAATCGACCCTGTGACCCTCCTATTTTTGTCACGTGGAAGGATATTATGACCAATCCAGGCCATCTATGAGATGAGGGATCCACTGGATCGGCGACATGTTCAATCCGTCCCACAGTTCATAGAAGCCATAGGGACCATGTTGTGTGGGTGGATTTCAATAGGAATTAGATTTGGTTTGTGATTGTGTGTTGTCCATTGGTACCTGTGATGTGGAACTGCCTTGCCACCACTGATCACACCATTAAGTCACCCTTTTTAATAGAACTTGTGATCCTCTTGGTACGTACATCCAACACTGATCATAGAACATCTTGATGTAATCTTCATAGAAAATTAGAAATACACGATAGAAACATTTGACACTCAATATCCAACAGAATAAGAATGAAATGGCGTATGGCTATTTCCTATTTTCCTCAATTACCCATTTATTTTTTGCAGACGTTGTTTCATATTCTGCGAGGCTGAACCAACTCAAGTTCAGAAGGTGAAAGAAATAATTAAGAAGTTGAAGTTTGGAGAGATGGTAGGGCAATAAGTAAAATTTCAAAAACCAGCAATGTTCTGCAGTGAAAATGTCCCAAAGGAACATTATGTGTATGAAGAAAATGAGTCTCAATGATAAATATTTAGGCTCCAAGTTATGGATCAATAGTAGAGGATGTAAAGTTTACAAGAAAATCCTGTAAAGAGTTAAGGCATTAAAGGCTAAATATTTGAAAAATAAAAGCTTCTATAGAGCAAAGGTTCACCAATCACAATCTTCATGGTGGAAAATGAGATGTTTGATCAAGAAGAGAAAGAAGCAATCTTAAAGGTGGCATTCAGCAGAAATGAAACACACGATAGATTGCTTTGGAAGCCATCTGATAATGGAATTTATTCTGTTAAATCAGCTTACAGGTCCTTTTTAGCTCAACAAGAAGGTTGCTCATTACGTGATTCTCTTCACACATGGATCTGGAAAACCAAAATACCTTAGCATTACAAGCTTTTTGCATGGAAGTCGGTAAATGGTGGCCTGCTCACTCGAGCTAAGCTTTTTTCAAAGAAAATAGTAAACGAAAAGACTTGCATCCTTTGTGGAGAACATGACGATGAAACTGATTTCCACTTAATGGTGGAATACCCATTTGCAAGAGCTGTATGGATGATACAGGCCAATATTGGATTCAAGTTCAAAATTTTCAAATGGAACAAGGTTTGCAACAAAGGCTATTTGGAAAATGGGTTGTTCTTATGAGATTAATATGGGAAGTGAGAAACCGCAAGTTCTTTCCAGAAGAAAAAGTGGATCCCGTGATCCCCTTAAGTAAGCTGAACTCCTTTTTGAATATGCAGAAAACCTTTTACATGTTCCCCACCAGCTTGATCAATCAGGAGGCTATATTGAATCAGAACGTTTCACCCTCTGGAGATGACACTTATTCTATTTCTGTTGACGGCTCTTTTGTCTCAAATTTGCAGGCTGGTATTGGCTTCGTAGTGTTTGTTATCCCCAACAAACAAAAAATTTTGTTGCAACAGTTAGGAAACATTTGAAGGATTTTAAGCCCAGAATAAGCAGAGCAATGGACCATGTTGACTGCATTAAATTGGGCTCTAAATTTTGGTCTGGAACGAGTTCAAGTCTTCACAGATTCTGCATTAAAGCAAAAATCATATATACACTTTGAGAAAAATGGCATTCAGTCGGGTATGTGTCAAATTCAATGGAGGAGTAGGTTAAAATTAGAATTGGAGTTTGAACAACTTAGGTTGGGTCAGGGTTGAGATAAAGTAGTAGTGTGAGTCCATACACCCTCACACAATCATCAAATCAGATTTCATAAAAAAACTGTCTCAACTTCAAAACATCGAAATAAGCCTTGAGGCAAGGAGACGTAACACATATATGATAGATAGTGTGTGCCTGTTTCAGAGAGGAAGACAGTAGAGAGAGGGAGAACTTCATTTGGTAGACTAATTAGGTTAGTAATCTTTTTCTTGTTTTGTTGATAACGTACAGAGCATACAACTAACTCGAGCGAATGTAGATTTTGTACCAACCAGACAGCTTCCCACTCGGTCAGATTTTTTTTTTTTTTTTTCTTTTCCTTTGTTGATTGCATATCAGTCATAGGGTCTGAGAGACGGACAGAAAGAGCAAAAAACCGTCCATTGGATTCCTCATCTTCATTGCTGTCCTGCTCTACCTGCCAAATCCTTTACGTCTCAAGAGAGACCCTCACCAGCTCACCTATCAAGCAAACAACAAATCCATCGCCAGCACCCACACGCGACTCACGGGTGTGACCATTCATATGAAATGGGGCTTCGCACTTGGTGCTGAGCGTTGCTCCAGCTAAGCCAGCCAAATGCCGTCGTCCCCACCCTCCTCCCACCTGTGCCCTCCTTCCTTGCCACAAACATCACGCTGTATTTCTGCTTCTCCCCAACCTCTCTGAACACCAGCCTCCTGGGCTTCACCGTTATTCCCACGCTCGCTGGCCCACTAACACTCACATCATACACTGACCCAGCCGGCCCCACATTAGTCAACTCTCGCGTGTATCGGACCATTCTCGTTTCGGCACTGAACAGTACAGAGAAGGATGGATAGTTTAGGTGACCCGGGTCTGCAAACCGCCGGGAGCAGGTGATATTGGGCCGCTTGGTGATCATCTGGATTTGGGCTATACTATAGTCCAAGGAGCAGAGGAATGCGATATAGTCCTCAGGTGTGGCGTCGTACACCAGCCCTGGAGACAGCGCCTTCTGTGGGTCCACATGTCCCGACCCATGGGCCCACGGGTTGGAGATTGCTCCACCAGCTGCATCACGAAGAGGGGATTTGGTGTTGTCACGGGTGTAGGCGGTGGTCATAAGGGCCGACTTGATGGCACTGGGGCTCCAATTTGGGTGGGCCGCCTTCAGCAACGCGGCCACCCCACTTATGTGTGGACACGACATCGATGTACCTGCATTCATCAGCGGCTAGGATCATCATCATCATCATCCAATCATAAAGAACAATTGATCCGTTGATATGATATGATACGATCAACAGTTCAGATCGAAAGAGAGTGAGTATCCTAGCTATAACCCACTCAACAGTCGCTTTAATCCAACACACACTGCACGTTTGGGCCCAAGCCAGAGTCCAGACCCATGAACCCTACTTTTGGGTGGGCGGGTCATCATTATTTTCTTTTGTTACAATACGAACATACATAAAAGCAGAATAATAGAAGAGTAGAAAGATGAAAGAAGCTTCGTAAGTCTTCCTCTTACTTTATATGATGATATATAATAGGGTAGGCCACTGACCAGACATGATGTTGAACCCGGTCTTCCTTGTATCTTTCACCAGACCAGTGGGTCCGACCGATTCAGACCAAGCTGCTAATATGTTCACTCCAGGTCCAATCAGATCCGGCTTCAGTATCTGGGGTGTTACCACGTTTGGTCCTCTCGAACTAAATGCTGCGACTACTGGTGATGGCGTTACATTCAGTACTGTCCCACCAAAACTCAGCACAGCCATCGGATTCGGATCTGATCTTGCATACTCCCTGATCATATCCCCTACCTTCCTCCCCACTGCAACCGCCGGAAGCAAATGGCTGTCCGCCACAAGCTCTTCGCCGCTGGCCGCCGTGTTCGCCAGTATCATGCCCAATCCGCCCGCATCACGAACTACCGCACCCTTCTCTACTCGCGCACTAATACCCCGGTCGCAGAGTACTACCTTCCCGCGAACCAGTTCCGGTTCAAGCGAACCAGGCAAGCACAAGTTGCTCGTCTCGTTCCCCTTGCCGTAGAACAAACTAACCGGTTTCGTTCCCATTCCCTTTCCACTGTAGAGTGACACGCCGGAGAACCGCTTACCGTTACCGAGATGGGCGTAAGCTGGGAAATCCCGGTCGAGTGTCCCAGCACCAACGGTCGCTATCCACGGAGCAACATTGGCAAGTGATGCTCGACTTGGCCCACTGTTACCAGCGGAGCAGGAGACAAAAATTCCCATCTCCATGGCCGTGAACGCTCCGATGGCGATGGTGTCGCGGTAGTAAGGTGCGGAACCACCCCCAAGGGAGAGTGATAGAACATCCACACCGTCGGCGATGGCCTGATCCATTCCGGCAAGTATGTCCGAACCGAAACAACCTGTGCTCCAACAAACCTTATAAGTGGCCACGCGCGCCCTTGTCGCCATCCCACGGGCTGTGCCGGAAGCATATCCGAGAAGGCTTGCGTTCGCTACGTGTGACCCGGCCGCCGTACTGGCCGTGTGGGTACCGTGGCCGTCTCGGTCCCGGGGAGACTCCGTCTCTTTCGGTTTCTTACTGTAACTCGCACCGGAGGCCATGCGGTAACCCTTGGAGAAGCTGCGGGCGCCGATGAGTTTCTTGTTGCAAAGAGATGGGCTGAAGTCGGGGGCGGACTCGCACTCGCCACGCCATCGAGAAGGTACCTGGGGCATTCCGGAGTCATCGAAACTCTTAGACTCGGGCCAAACACCGGTGTCCAGGATGCCGATGATGACATCCTTGGTGGCTTGGTCCAAATCTTGGGTACGGTGGCCGGCCCACAAGCTCAAGTCGGTGTCGAGGCCTAGGAATTCTGGGGTACGAGTGGTGTGGAGAGTGTAAATGGAATCCTGGTAGACACCAAGGACGGAGGCAGATAGGCGGAGTGCCTCAACTTGGTCGGGGTCGAGTGAGGCGGCGAAACCGTGATAGGCAGTGGAGTAGGTATAGAGCAAGGTAGAGGAACCAGAAGAAGATAGAGATTGGAGTTGGGCGGAGTACCAGTCGTGGTGGGTAGCGTAGGATAAGGGCTTGAGATGATGTTTCATGTGAACAATGTACGTCTGTTTGGCAAGAACTGATAGACAGTGAAGAAGAAGAAGAAGAAGAAGAAGAAGAAGAAAAGTGAAGCAAGACGACCAGGCCAAAGACGCCATGGCCATGGTGGGTGTGCGTATGAGGAGACTCTGAGAGAGAGAGGAAAGGGAATGGTGTGGGGATTTAAAGTAGGGAGTTAAGGAAAACGGCTCAACATGTGAAGTAATTACAAAAATGACAGTGCAGGTTGAGGGTGGAGACTGGAGAGTGGAGAGATGATAATATGTATGGTAACGGTGCAATGGGACGATAGAGGAGATGGAAGTTGGGTTCGACGGCGTTAGGCGTTTGGCACAGTTGATGCCGGAAAATCAGATAAGGTAGGGCCCAAAAGCAGGTTGATATTTGATGATGCATCAATCAAAGTCATGACAGAGGAGGATTCTGTTCCTGTTTCCAGTGGAGCAGTGGGGACTGGGGACTGGGGACTGGGGGTGGAGTGAGTGTTGTTCTCCTTAACATATTAACACAAGGAGGAGGAGCTGGCAAAGGCAAACAGTCAAACACCATCCATGCAGTTTTGCTACTTTCTACTTTTCTCATTTCCCACCCCACCTCCCTCCCTAAAATCATGAAAAAAAAAAAAGAAATCTCTGCCGCAATTCCCGGTAAAACAGTAATCACTTTTGAATTTCGACCCGTCCGTTGTAGACAGCAATAGGAGAGGAGACTAGACAAATATCTAGAATGTTGCCGTTACGTGTGACCCCGTGTGTGTGTGCGCGCGACTGTGCGGTGGTGGCAATAGTGTAATTTGATTCGAATGCAGGGGAGATGTAAGTAAAGTGGCACAGAAGACGAAGAC